CAGGGTGTCTTTAAGTCTGGAAATAGTGCTGATTTTTTAAAGGTAGGCCCGGAAGCACCACGAAAATGCGGAAATTTCGCTATAAAGTCCGAATTTTTTTTAATCTGTTGTCATTTTTGTCGCAGTTTGAGCGAGGAATTCAAATTGGTGAAATTTTTCCAATGTTTATCGTTACTCTATCAACATTTGCTAATTTTGATGAGGTGACCAAAGTCTCAGGAGGAATTTCTTCCTTTACAAATTCTGAAAGCAAGTAAGCTATCACTTTTATTGATACTATCGGCAATGTTCGTGTATTTTGTAAATTTTATAACTTAAAATATCTGCAATTTTTTCTTCTCGTGAGTCTATCTTCACGATGTACTAAACTGACGGGAGCCGGCGACGTTAAGTTTCCGGATGAAAATCCTAACGCGCCGGCAAGGGAGCTGTATGACGTATCTATTACAGAGCTATCTTTGAGATGATGGAGAGTGTGGTCTGCTTCAAGTTAGGAAAAACAACATTTTAAACAAGCAGGTTTCAACCTAGATACATGAACTACATTAGGAGTCATTTTCGATTGGCATTTCTATTTCGTAATTAATATCGGACAATTTTCTGAGGACGGTATAAGGGCCGTCGAATAGTGGTGACAATTTTTTGTTTGCACTTAGTCGGACGTCTCGAGAAATAATCTCTTTATCTTTAGGTTGCAAAAGTAGGTCAGATGTGTTCTGATCACATTTTTCTTTCATTTGAGATTGTTTTTGTGCTAAAATTTTAGGGAGAGATTTTAGCCGGCGATTTCAAGTTGCCCGATGAAAATTCAAACGCGGCTGAACCTCTAGCTAATGCGGAGACGCTGGGCTCGGAATCAGACGATGAATCCAGTGGCGTGGCGTGCTTTGCGATCTATCGATATTTCCCCATTTGAAGCTATGGAAATAATCGATTATTAAGGTGCTCGCTGTGAACGTCCTGTTATCGATACTTTTCCATAGGTTTAAATTATCGATCAATCGATTTATCGAAAAGCACGCCACGCCACTGGATGAATCTTGGACTTAACACTCCGAGAGACGGAAGGCGAGCATCTATAAAATTTCGGTGCACTTCAGAATGAATAAAAAACACCATTTAAGTGATTACTAATAATCAATACCAGTAATTTCTTGAACCCCAGGCGAGGAATAGCTTCTAAACCCTGCAGCTCACTGGTTCTCGATGGCCGAGCCACTTTTTAATCAGTTATCTACTTCGCTACTGATCAATTCCAGAAGAGCCGCAGGCGCAAAATCGGTATTCAAATAACTTTCCGACGGACACGAATCCGAACTTCTCCCGAAGAAATCGTTCTCCGACCAACTCCTGGAAAGGAAGTGTTAAACTGTTGCCAACTGCAATTCCGAATTGATTAATCATTTCAAGGTACATTTATTCCAGGCTCCACAACAGTCGCGGAGCACTTTGATAAATGCAATAAAAGTTGCCGGAAGCAATCCAGACACTACAGTGGAAACAAGTTGATAAGTCATTTAAATAGATCCTAGAGACAGTCGCCGCGGGGCGAGGAAAATATCGCGCTACGATTTAGCTGTTTTGTTTCGGTCTCCCCGAAAGAGGAAAGCACGGCGGGACGGCGGGTCCCGGCGGGATTATTATGGTACTGTTTTTAAAACGGTTTAGGTACCAATAAACTTCGCCGCTCATAAATGTGACAGAGCATCTTGAGGTGGCTTCCCGCGTCTCCAGGGCGACCGTCCCGACCTCCCGCTCCGAAGGCTCCGACACAGTGGAGCGAGTCACTTAGAGAGGTCGACAATGACATTCTTGAGTAATACTGCTAATGGGCCTGTTGCATGCAAGAGATACAGCCGCGCGAATAGACTTTTAAGAGGTTAAATGATACGAAAATTACGATGGTCACATTAAAAAAGTCTGAAATACACTCCTTACTGCGCAATTTGCGTTGTTAGGAACGCGCTTTTTCAAATTTCCCGCGCCTGGGGGCAGTTTTCTAATCACCGGAAACGAGCAAACGGCGGGCTCGGTGATTTCCGGAAGATGCCGAGTCGTTGTTGTTGTTGTTGTTATTTTATCCTTCAGTTTGTTTACAAACCCAACGTAATCTCTAATAGTGGTCCATATACGCTTTATGCGGTAACCAAATCGATCAACTTTTAAGTATCCAACGCAATCCTTCTACATTTCATTTCACGATATCACGAGCTCCGATTTTTAGGTTATGTTGTCAGTTTTAGTTGACCGGAAATAGCCGCGAGTTGCCGTTAATTGTTTCCGTTCGAAAACTGCCCCCAGACGCGGGAAATTTGAAAAAGCGCGTCCCTAACAACGCAAATTGCGCAGTAAGGAGTGTATTTCAGACTTTTTTAATGTGACCATCGTAATTTTCGTGTCATTTAACCTCTAAAAAGTCTATTCGCACGGCTGCATCTCTTGCATGCAACAGGCCCATTATGGTGTATATTTTTTCACATTGTAATTTCCAGGGGTGTTTTAAAAGAAATTTTCACGAAGAAACAAACGGAATCAACCTCCCGCTTCGAAGGCTCCGGCACACAGTGGATTGAGTCAATTAGAGAGGTCGGACATGGAATTTTTGACTGAAACTAAAGATTTTGATGTTTTTTTTCCGTCACATTTTAATTTCAAGGGGTGCTTCTAAAAGGAAATTTCACGAAGAACCCAATGGAACCACTACATGGTTCAACGTTCAAGTTTTGTTTGAATGGAGTTATAAGCATTTTTTCCAAATTTCGTCCGGCCCCTCCTATTCACTGGAAAAAAAAACCCACATTGGATCTAGAGCCCAGACTCTTGAAAACATTGACAAGAAAAAATACTCTTGATTCAATCAGATTTTTGCTTAAATCAAAAGGAAATCCGCTCAAATTAAGAGGCTTGGTTCTTGATTTAAGCTAAAATCTGATCGAATCAAGAGTATTTTTGCTTGTCGATGTTTTTCAGAGTCTGGACTCTAGATCCAATGTGTTTTTTCCAGTGAAATTTTGATGTTTATTTTTTCATATTGTAATTTCAAGGGGTGTTTTTAAAAGAAACTTTCACGAAGAAACAAACGAAATCAACCTCCCGCTTCGAAGGCTCCGACACACAGTGGATTGAGTCAATCGGAGAGGTCGGACATGGAATTTTTGACTGAAACTGAAGATTTTGATGCTTATTTCGTTACATTTTAATTTCGAGTGGTGCTTCTGGCAGAAAGTTTCACGAAGAAACCAATGGAATCACTCACAGAACGTCCAAGTTTTGTTTGAACGGAGTTATAAGCGTTTAAAATTTCCAAATTTCGTCTGGCCTCTCCTATAGACTCATCCACCGGGCGATGGGTCTCGCAGTTTCGAGTCAATTACAGAGGTCGGACCTAGAATTTTTGATTGAAACTGCAAATTTTAAAGTTTTTTTAGTCATATTTTAATTTCAATGGGTGCTTCTAAGAAAACAATTCACGAAGAAACCAATGGAATCGCTTATAGAACGTCCAAGTTTTGTGTGAACGGAGTTATAAGCGTTTAAAATTTCCAAATTTCGTCCGGCCCGCAGTTTCACTCACAGTTTCGAGTCAATTAGAGAGGTCGGACATAACATTTTTGACTAAAACTTCAAATTTTTACGTTTATTTCGTCACATTTTAAATTTTAAGGGGTGCTCCTAAAAGAAAATTTCACGAAGAAACCTATGGAACCACTTACAGAACGTTCAAGTTTTGTTTGAACGGAGTTATAAGCCTTTAAAATTTCCAAACTTCGTCCGGCCCCTCCTATTGACTCGATCCGCTGTGCGACGGGTCTCGCGGAGCGAACAAAAAGCCCGACTGCCAACTCCGCGGATCTCTCATCCTTTGATGTCGATCAGAGATTCGACGCGAAATCTAGAACCTTTCCTGTTTCGCCCGAAACGACGTCTTGCGGCTGCGTTTGAACTCAGTCTTCATCTTCTTGCCCTTCGATGAATGGGTCGAAGTGAGATCAGCATGAAAATGAAACCACGATCTCGGTGTCGTGGAAGGAATTCGCGCGAAGCAGATTGTCAATTCATTGTGCCCAGTAGCGAGTTACACTCTAGGACTGCGCTTCTCTATCGATTTTCCACGTTTAGTATTTGTGCGTATCTTTGGAGATGATATCATGGTTTTATAGTGCCATTGATGGTTTTTCGAATGTTTAACGGTTGGTAGCAACCAAAGGGTCTTGCTATAAGTTGCCTTTCTCTACCATAGAGTGGATCTCTCTTGAACTCTTGAAATTGTTCTTTAAGAGTGGTGATATGCGCGCCTATGCGTGCTTTCTCCTCTTCTACGTCCATGTTGTGCAAAATCTCTCTGCACGGGGGACACCTTTGTCCAGCAGGCCTCAAAGTCTCTTGCACAACATGGACGTAGAAGAAGAGGACGCACGCATTGGAGCGCACATCACCACACTTGAAGATCAATTTGGTACCAAGAACAAGAGAGATCTTCTTTGGAAATGGAATCTAAATATATTCTGGGGGGAAAAAAAAAAAAAAAAAAAAAAAAAAAAAAAAGACACATCGTTACGTAACGTATAGGTCAACATAATGCTACAGGTACATAGTTACTGCTAAACATAGTTACAAGTCGGAGTTCTGCGAAGATGAATACAGGAACTTGCAGCCACAACAAATAGGTACTCAAACAGAAAATCGGAACTGCATAATCGTACTCGCAACTGGAAACTAGAACTGGGCTTGAACTGGAAAGTTGGAATATATCTTTCTGGAATACACTATTCTTGTTTTTACAAAAGTAGTTCTCTCGCATTGATTATGACGCACAATCTGTAAGGTTGGAACACATTGTCCTGAGCTGCAGGCGCATGCAATTTAAATCTGGCAAAATGTACTCACAGTTAATATCCAGCTTCTTCGCTATGAGATCCGCCAAATCCTTGCAGTAGCCTTCGAATCTGTCGTTACCAACCAGTTGTTCGTGAGGCTCTGCTTTCTTGAACATGATGTAAGGCTCCTCCTGAAAACATAAATACGATCACATTTAGCCCTGATTATTTCTTAAATTGCCTCTCTGCACTGTGCAACTTCCGTTGCCGTGGTTTACTGGCGTAGTTGGCCTCACTTTTCTCAGGAAAATGTAGTTCAAAACGAAATTTTTCACTGCGAAATGAGTTTGATTCATTGATACAAATATTGCAACTCTGGTGTGTTGCACAGTATCAAGCTTGATTTAAGGCGTTTTTTTTTCTTCTGATGCACTACACACAATGAGGCAACGGCTAAATGGAGTCAACTGTCAAATACTCGACGTTGGGTTCGGATCTTAGATACTAATATTCCAACTCCCGTGTGTTGCACAGTGTCAATCGTGATTGAAGGCGTCTTTTTGTCCGAATGCACTACACAGAATGACGGAACGCCACGTTGACGATGCGACCGGTTGGGTCCCAAGAAAGGAACCACAGAGAAACTTGACCTATCGACAGAGTTTGCTGTTAATCTCAGCCGCATTATCTCCCAGCTGACCAGACATGCCTCGAGTAATGCTGAATATCTTACAATAAACCGTTGTGAAAGTTTTATGAAGTTGAGTTCGATTCTTTAATACTAATTTTTAAACTCCTGTGTTGCGCAGTATCAAGCGTGATTCAAGGCGTTTTTTTGTCCAGATGTTCTACAAGCAATGTAATTATTTTTTTACGGCTTCCTGTAAATCGAGTCCACATTTTGTGTGAGTCAATTCTCTTTTTAGGAGAAGGAAGTGCGATCAAAGACCCGTCGTTCCTTGACACCATCCCCTGAATGTCTCCAAAACTTACTGACAGTTTAGTTATAACATTCAAAAGTCAAGAGCTTGTTCGCCCATTATCAACCATAGTGAAGGTGAATGCGATCTTTTGGTGTTCGGAAATAAATAAGTTCGATAATCCATACGAGCACAGTAAAACATATTTTTAAAGCCTCTTAATGGAACATGCTCACCACTGCTCACCAGCAACCGTGAATCGAGAGAAAATTTAAACCTTTTTTCTGAGTCACGCGAAGACCGAATGGAAGTTCGAAGAGCAGGCGTACCAATCAGACAGGGAACGGAAATTATGTTTCGAGATTTCGCGGCTGACTCTGTGAATGACTACTGCGTGAGCTCAGTTTGAATGGCGGTGGAGGTTAATATGTTTATTGTGTCACAAAATCTCGAGTTTCTGCCTGCGAGGATGTCAATATTAATATTTTGCGACCGTAAATCCATTAGATTTTTTTTTCTAGCATCGGAACCTTAAACCGTCACTGGCGCTTTATGATCCCGTTCATTCTCACAGTCCTCAACTAACGAGCACACCCCTTATTTCCCACCTGCTTCTACACGGAGAAAAAAAACTCGTGCGTGAGACCCGAAGTTTAGGTCATGTGGATCTCCGAAGTTTTCGGATTGAGAATCTGAACACTTTACGTCCAGCTGCCGAGGTTCGGATCACACATCTGAAACTTCAGTTCTTACATCTGAAGTACTTCAGATATGAGCACCGAAGTTTTTCGGATGTGAGAACCGAAGTTTTTCGGATGTGAAAACCGAAGTACTTCAGATGTAAGATCTGAAGTTTCAGCTGTGTGATCCGAACCTCGGCAGCTAGACCCAAAGCGTTCAGATGCTCAATCCGAAAACTTCAGAGATCCATATGACCTAAACTTCGGGTCCCACGCACGAAATTTTTTTCTCCGCGTGGTTCCGTCCGGCAGAGATACGTCAAATTTGGGTTCTTAATATTATTTCCTCTCAATAGTGTAAATCCATTAGGTCCATTTCTGGTATCGGAACCTCGACAATGGTTTATTTCTACCAAAGCGAGCGCTCCGAAATTAATAAGAGCGCTTTCGGACGAGTCTCCGCTCTCGTGGCGGTGCTCCGCGCTTTTGTATCGAGTCAACGGTCAACGGGCGGTGGCGAGACTTCTCAATAAGATCCGAGTCGAGACTCGAGAGACGTCCGCGCAAATATCGTCGCTCCGACGTGAGGGTTCATCTCGATTTTCACGTGAACCCCGTTGTTCATACAACCCCATGTTCTACAGGGCTCATGTCGAAATTGCGATACGCCCTCGCGTCAGAGGAGCGACGATATCGGGAAGAGGCGAGCGCGGTTGTAATGCAGACGGAGTTACGGCGCGGCGGCGAGGAGATGAGGAAGCAATAAGTTACAATCCGAAATACGAGGCCAGTGAGGACAATAACGCGGAGATCTGCCGCGCTGAGTAAGAAAGCCGTATTAGCAACTGAGCGTTGCCCGGTTCTCTTCGACAAACCTCGAATTTCCAGGAAAATTTGTGGGTGTTTCTAATCCGATTTTTCGGAGAAATGGAGTCGTGCATGTGTGAGGAATTTGCGATTTGACTTTTGATTCTCTTGTAAAAGTTCGCGAGAAACACGATGGTGCCACTGATTTTCTATGAAATCAACTCCCAAGCTCCAAAAAAGCTTTCAAGTTGAGGCCAAAATGGAGGGGATATCCCAAGCTATCCTGAGAGTCCACCTCTACGTCAGGACAAACTCTACATGCAAAGATAGGGAGCAAATACATTGACAGGGCAGCCACTTTCTTTGGGGACTCTTAAACTGAAAACACTGCAGCCCTATCTTTGCATGGAGAGTTTGTCTTGATGTAGAGGTGGACTCTCAGGATAGCGTGGGATATCCCCTCCTTTTTGGCCTCAACCTGAGAGCTTTCTTTGAGCTTGGGAGTTGATTTCAGAGAAAACCAGTGGCACCCTCGTGTTTCTCGCGAACTTTTACATAAGATTCAATAGTCAAAACGCAAATTCCTCACACACACAACATCTCCATTTGTTCGTGATTTGACGGAAAAAGTCGGGAAATTTCAAAGAATGATATTCATAACTATTTTTGAAAAAACATATTTTCAAAGGAGAAATCCGGCATTATTCGAATTTTCGTACGGTGTTTTTACTTAGCACGGCGGAGATGGAGACGGAGAGAACGCGGCACGCTCCGTTCGACGGAATTTGTAGTTATCATCTCGCGGTTTTATTCGCTCGTGCTTTCGCGAGTATAGACGTCCGTTTCGCGCCGGGGTGTGTCTTGGAATCGCGGATTACGTGAGTATTGGAACGGGCCGGATTGAATGGGGAGGAACCGATGTATGATTCCGGAATTATACGCTAATTTAGAGAAAATGAAATACAGGAAAGAACATTTACAGGGTGTCTGCAAGTCCGGAAATAGTACCGTTTTTTTAAGGAGGGTCCGGAAGTACTGAAAAAGTGCGGATATTCCGCAAAAGGTTCGGAATTTTGTTTATTTTTTGGTTTTTTTTTGTCTTAATTTGAGCGAGAAATTCAAATTTTTGAAATTTTTCGAATTTCGTCAGATGGAGGTACTTAAAAAGTACTGAATTTTTCTGTTAACGAGGTACTGAAATCCTTGGGAATTTACTGAACGAGTAATGTTTAAGCACTGATTTTTTTCCAGCCTATTTTAGGCCAGGAGGTATTGAATTTTTTGGGAATTCACTAAAAAAGTACTGTACAAGTACTGGTTTTTGGCCCGCCTGTTATAGTAGACGCCCTGATTTAAGAAAATGAGTACAACAGAAATGACTATGTTGGAAACATATCGACGGCTGAAGTGCGAAACCACCTGGAATCCCAGCTGTCAATCTCTTTGCGAGCTTTTTGTCTAGTCTCCTTCATATCTGTTTTCTGAACCGATCGAGCTTGTTACGCGGAGGATGGTCAGGACAAGGCTCGGTGCCGTGGAACTTGCAAGAATTACTTCCGACTTTGTTAGTGCGCGCGACAGGTTATGCACGCAGTTACAAAGGCACTGACGCTGCCTTTGAAGCGACCCGGATCCAACCGATTACAGAGGCATTCTTTGTCACTCACGGAGACGTTTAGCGAACTGCGCTTGAAGTTGAAGGTGTGAGAAATTTACAACGTCCCGCCAAGTTGAAAATTGGAGTTTTTTTGCTCCCCCCCCTCCAGCGCGCGGCCCCCTTTCTATCGATTTAAAAGTTCCGTCAGCTATTAGCTCACGTCCCCCGGCTTTTTACCATTCCCCCCGTATTTTCCGCCAGGTATTTCCAGCTCCTCTTAGAAACCTTCAAAAGAGCCGTAAAGCGAAAAAGTTCCCGGAAAAATTACGTTTCTAGCGCGCTCACGGGTGAATGAATTTACTCCGGATTAACGGGATATTCTCCTCAGAGTCTCTCGTAAAAAACTGCGAGGGGAACGAAAGTTACGGCGAATTTTTTCTCATGGCTTCATTTCGTATTTTTCTGATTAATTTGTTTCCTTTCCTTTCGCAGCTCGCGTAAAGAGAGTCGCTGGAGAAGTGGCCAAGATTGCTCTTCGTTTTAAAGTCCCAGAGCTGGCCACGAATTCAGATTTGTATTGATCGCTATTCATCAGATAGGGTCTTCGAATAATCTCTCCTACCTTGACGTCCAACCACTCACAATCATCTATTTGCTCATTCAGATTTACAAAAATCGTCTAATTATCGGACGCCATGCAGGGCACTCGGGTTTTTTTTTTTTTTTTTTTTTTTTTTTTTTTTTTTTTTTTTTTTTTTGGGGGAAGAAAAAAAGTGTGAAGAAAGTATTCTAGGTTGATTTTTGCTGTTGATACACTTTCGTTTAGTGTGTCATTGCAAATAATATTTAGGCCCTAAATTCAGTCAAAGCCATCACTAGAACCGCTCCAGGAGGCATTTCATCCTAACTTGAAGGATGAGAAAAATTTAGCGGCGCATAATTCATTATACACAATGACAGAACGGCTCAATACCTGAACATCTAAAAGTGTCACGGAAAGGATGTACTCTTGCTTTTCTTGCACGTCATGTCTTTTTGGATCGACGGTTTCTCATTAAATAGTTGGAGACAGTCAATGTAAATATGCTAAGTATATGATCTATATTATCCGTTTATTCGACCATTAAAGGACTGCCACACTGGTAGAAAGAAGTGGTTGGCAATTTTACGAGAGCTGACGACCCTGGCTGTTGGTGTAAATTCATCTATTTTTCCATTCAGTCATATCTTGTTCGATCAGTTCAGGGATGAGCCCTAATTATATTCTCAAGATGGCTGAGACGAGTTAAAATCCGACGTGAACGCCCAAGGAGGGGGATCGTCAATATTTTTTCAGGCGGAATCTCATTTCCTGAGCCTCTCCCTGCCTTGTGATGGTAATTAGTTTGAAATCCTGGATATTTATTCCAACATCAAAACAATTTTAATTTTGCGGGTTACGCCGTCCTCAGGAATCGCTTCATAATATAAATAGCTCCAACTGGGGAGGGATATTTATCAATACAATTTTTCAGGCAGGGCTCCACTTCCTGAGCCAACTCTTCTCGACTTGCCGGTGAATGTTCCAGTTTGCGGTTTTGACTCTGCACGCAGCTATGAGCGACACAATTAATTGGATGGTAGTCGTTGCCGTTTATAAATGTTGACCCCGGTTGATAATTAAATACACATTTTGTTACCTACCAATTCATGCCTCGAGCAAACTTTTTGCTAGACGCTCTTTAATTTACGTCTTATCGATGTATTTGATGTCAGCCAGCGCGGCAATTTTAAACTAAAAATGGAGTTGTCTTCTTTTGTGTGAAGCTTCAATGTTTCCTTGGATTAACTGTAGAGTGTGAAATTCCCACCCTTCTTTGCCTCTTAAAATAACTTAAAGCTTACTCCCTGGGACGCAATTGAGATGAAATTTGGCTGGCCAGAAAATTGACCAGCCAGTTGAAAATAAAAATAATAATAAAAAAAAAAAAAAAAAAAAAAAAAAAAAAAAAAAAAAACGGTACACGAGTTTCCTCGCCAGGGAACTCTCCCCGCAAGAAACCGTTCACCACCCGCCCTCCGAGAGAGCCGCGGCTCGGCGTGCAGGCGTGCTGTCACCGTAACGCGCACTAACGCCTACAAACCTAAGGGGCTACTTCACGCATTGCGCAATGCTTGAAGTATCTCTTTAGGTTTGTAGGCGTCAGTGCGCGTTGTGAGCTAGCAGCGCAGCATGCTATAAACTTGCCCAGAATTAATAGGTCAGGGTGTTAAAATGCAGGCGATTTGATATCAAATTCTATATTAGCGACTCTGATTACATAGGCAATGAAGCTTTCGCGATCATTCAGTCATTACCCGACTTATTTCTATTCTTGAGTTTTGGACCATAGTGCGCCGCGGGCGGCAGCGCTCATGAAATTCTCCCCTGTGCTCAATCGCTAGACCTCGGCCCCCGAGAGGAGCAGTGGCGTGGCGTGAATAATCGATTATCGATATCTCGCCGTTTGAAACTACGGTAAAGAATCGATTACTAAGGTGTTCGCTGCGAACACCCTGATAATCGATATTTTTTCATAGGTTCAAATGGCATAACAATCGATTTATCGCAATTCACGCCACGCCACTGGAGAGGAGGGATCCCTCCGGATCAATTAAAAGGGTCATAGTTACTCCTGTAATTCAGGGGAAGGCTTATGACCTACGACTACGTTCTGCAATTAGAAACTATAATATCTCGCTTATTTGCAAAAGCACTTGTGCCTGTAGGGGAACTAATAGTACCATACATACATATCAAGCCGCCACCTCAGCGCACTAGAGCGCCCTGCGACTCCAAATCGCCATCGGAATCGATCCCCCCACAAATCATCGGGCAGATTACACCGTCTGATCTCCCCCTCCACTCCCTCTCGCCAACCTAATAGTAGGAGTTCATGGTAGTGTCCATGGCTGATCTTGTTCAACAACAGCTCTGGCTAACTCTGCCTGAAGGTTCCTGACCAACTTCTTGAGGTGTTCGTTGTCCTTCGCCAAGATGGCTGCCTTCTGACCGAAAGCCTTGGAAGTCTCGGTGTACTTCTTGTTGTCTTCTTGAAGCTCTTTGTTTAACTGCAATGATCGCTCAAGCTCACGGCAGAGATGATCTTGAGATTTCTTGCCCAGTAACGAGTGACTAGACGCTCCACCGGTTATTTTTGTCGATTACTTGGTGGCTCCAGTTGGATCCGACGTTGGTTTGGGTTCAGCGGGCTTCTTAAGTGGTGACAATTCGATGATTGGCTGGCTGTCTTCTCTCTGTCTCTTTCTGTCCTCTTCTTGCGTCTCGCGCTCCATGGACAGTCCTAATAGTAGTTCCGCCGGCCTAATAGTACCTATTTTGGTTTTATACTGAGCCAGAAATTGTAGTTTCTTACTCAGCCGTGCTAAGAAAGAACGCTTGATTAGTAATCAGGCGTTGCCAAATTTCTTTAGAAGAACAACAAATTTTCAGGAAAATATTTGAACATTTCGCCTCCAGGATTTCAGAATATTTTGTTCGAAATTTGATGTACAAAATCTGAAAATTTCAAGGAAAAATATTCATTACTTTCCTCAATAATAAACATTTCACTGAAGGAAATTTGGCAATTCTCGAATGTTCGTACGGCGTTCTTCGTTAGCACGGCAGTATTGCAAAATGCAGTCAAATTGTAATCTGCTCGATCAAGTAGCGGTAACATCAAGGGGTTTTTTTGCTGAATACACGACCACCGCTTACATGACCGAAGGAACCCACTCTCAAACGTAATTTGAAAGGAGAATAAGTTTCGCTGAACAGCCAGATTATCAGTTGAAACAGCTAGTAAGTTAAAATCACTACGGGACATGATCAGAATTTACCGTAATCGTTGTGACAATGTAGGTGCGGTTCTTCTCTATTTCTGTCGGTGGTCGTGGCTTCTCATTCTTCGGAGCAAGTACTGTCAAACCGGACACATCAGACCATTCAGCCACCTGAAAACACAGTTGAAGAGGAGAGTTAGTTCTCTCGTACATGTTACGGAGGCAACACAGTACGGGGTGTTGAAATGGGGTTTTAAAATGCAATCAAGTGTGTGTGAAAGAAATTCTCACTTCACACGTTCATACATTTTTTTAATGCACTGAAGATTAAAAAACACATTGGATCTAGAGTCCAGACTCTTGAAAACATTGACAAGAAAGAATACTTTTGATTCGATCGAATTTTTGCTTGAATCAAGAGGTCATCAGAGCTTAAATTAAGATGCTTGGTTCTTGATTTAAGGTAGATTCTGATTGAATCAAGAGTACTTTTTCTTGTCGATGCTCTTAAGAGTCTGGACTCTAGATCCAATGTTTTTTTTTTTCTTTCTTTTTTTTTCTTCTTCTTCCAGTGTGTGTTGATGCACAACATCTTTTCGTAGTAGCACTTAACGTACCTTATGGTGTCATAGGGTCCTTCAGAGACACTTCTTCTGAAAAGTCCATCCATTTTCTTAATTCGTTTATTCGGGCTGCCGTTTTTCGCAATCGCCGCACCCTCTCGACAGCGATGGAACGAGGAATAACCCCATTTAGGTTGTTCAGTGCCATTAAAAAGCGGGGGTGAACTTATATTAAATGAATTTCCTTAAAATTTTCCGAGATTTTCGTCCTTGACCATCGTCATGACTTTTTCATAGAAAGTAACCGTATCAAATCAAATTTCGTGGACTTACGCTCAAATATAGAAGGCCGGACCGCGTTACGCAGAAAAGAACCAAGCCTCATCAGCTATTGCTAAATTTAATCGGGCAATTCAATTTTTTGTATGAAAACGGTTGTGCGGTTTTTTGCGCAAATTTTAGTGAATTTCCTGCGTAGTGCGAAGCAAATTCCTCAAAATTGTTAAAGGAATCCGCACAAACGTGATGAAGTTAAATTACCAAGTTTTTGGGCATAACTGATGTGGCTTGCTTTCTTTTTGCTAAACGCGGCCCAGACACCGTCGTGATTATTGCCTTGATAGTCAAACCTACGTCAAGAACTGAGATAGTCAAATGATCTCACCTTAACCATTGCACTGTGCATAGTCATCTCCATCACGTGCAAAGTGTAGTTTTTTCGCTTCCCATTTTCGTTGAATTTGATCTCTCCCGTGAGGCCTTCGATTTGAACCTGTAACAAAATGGGGAAGATGTTCTATAAATTTTTAAGTAGGAATACTAGTAAAACATCAGAATAAATACAAATGCTCTACTTCAAAGCGTGCACATTTTCATGGTTATGGCAATTCGAAGAGAATCCGCCTTACTTACGCGCAGGGTAAAACTTGGTTCGGATAAGCTGTAGTTGGCCTCTATGAAAACCTAATAGTAAAGTAATATACGGTGCACAATTTAAATTACGCATGATTCTGCCCTTTTCAATTTTTCCCTCCTTTCATGAAGACAGCGCATGAATAAAGGGTTCCAAATCAAGATCCAGGTGGTTAAGAATCCCCTCACCCGGACGGGACGATAAGCTGGTCATCATGACTTCTTCAAAAGGAATACGCGAATACAAAACTTCGTTACAACACTCAACAAGAACGTAAATTCAAACATCAAAGATCCACAACACACTAGGACCGGCAGGCTGGCTCTCGCGGCAGCTCACAAATCTACTGATAAGTGAAACGTGTGGGTTCTGAGGAAAACGGGACGACAATTTGGCGGTCCGCCGGCAGAAAAAGCGTATATACACCTGGCGACCAGCTCTGCCACCCTTACAACTCCACGCTTTCCAGGGTCCGCGCGGGAACCAACCCGCGCATCCGTCAGCCGAGGGACGAATTAACGGAGACCGGGGTAACGGGGTAAAAATTGAAATTGGATGCGACTTTTGAAAGGGAGCAGATAAGTTTGATGTCGCGGTGGACGAATCGAAACGCTTCTGTGCTACGGGAAAATGTCGTAGGCACATTCGGAGTTGCCAAATTTCTCCTCGAGCTAGAATTTTCAGGACTTGATATGCTTAACCTCTCCTCGAAATGAATGTGGCATCAAGCGAGTGTTCAGCTGTTCTTACCGCGTTTTGCCTTAGCACAACTGAACTGCTTCCTTGTTCGTTAGCCGCGCATTATTTTTGTGCGTTTGACATTTACTTAAACAAATAGAGCGGGCTCAAGCGAATAATTGGACGTGCCCGGTATCGCTTGGATCGGACAAGTTCCTCTTATTGCGACGCGTCTTCTTTTCCGCGCTCAAACGTCTCGCGGATACCTTCTGAAAATCCGCCTTTTTTGGGTTGACAAGGAAAAACTAGGAATATTTTCTCCTCTGGTGACCCCTTTTGTTAGTAAAACAAGCACCTTTTTCATCTTATTTTATTTAAGGAGAAAGAAGAACCTATTCATACCGGTTGACAATTGATGCAACCACAGCATCCTTTTCAAGTTTTGCAACCCATACAAGTTACCGCAATCAGCACAATTTTCTCGCGGATTACCAACCCTCATATTGTGTTGTTCATACTCAATCTTACTAAATGAAGATGGACGGATATACAGGGATGCTCGTAGGAAGATCCCCTAATACATACAGCAAATGTAAAGGCGGAGACTCGAGGAATTTTGCCTCTTTGAACAGAGCATCCAAATTTGAATACATTGCTACCACCTGTTCTAATTATAATAAACAGGAACCGAATTAGGTGAGAATTTCTCCTCAACTAAGAATTAAATCATCGTTAGACGAATGAAAAACTTCACCAAAATTAACATAATAATAATACCACATAACAATCAATAATAATAATAATATAGTATAGCATCGTATAGTATAATGTAGTATACAAGTTTAGTATATGGTAATATAGTTTATAAGTAAGAATTCTAATAAAATAAAATCATAATAAATAAATAAATCATAAGTAATAGATATATAGTAATATAGTATAGTTTAGTATTATAATAATTAAGCATCCTTATACCCTTTTCGTGAAGGAGTTGTACTTTTCTTCAACTTCTCCTCTGTAACTTCTTCTTCACGGAACAGTAATTTGCTAGGTAGCTATGGAGGATCGCTTACCATCGTCATCCATAATATACCCTGACGGGCGGCTCGATGCCCCTCGGACAGTTACCGGCCAGTCCGGTGGCCGACCCTAACCCGGTGCATTCCTTATGCGATTCGAGCTTGTGGTAATAACCGCACCTGTTCCTCTCGTTATCTCGTTCCTTTCGGCTTCTTTAGCTATACGGTTCCTAATTCGTTCTTTGGTCGCGTCTAGTTCATGCTTTAGTATTTTGCAATTTATTATGTTTAGTTGTTCGTTAACGTATTGGCAGATGTCGGTGCTTAGTGGGTCGTTTATTCTATTAAGTTCAGAATTTACTGACGAGCCCGGACTTTCTGTTATTTTTTTCAAGTTAGTAGGTTTTGAAGCACGTTTGGTATCGGTAGGAAGATGACTTGCTGGAACTAGTGGTGGATGCGTTACTGGAAGTGGTAGTTCGGGTCCTTAGTGTTTTAGCCGTGTTGGTTGGTGGTGATCTCGTGGTGGTCGATTTGGTTGTCTTTGTCATGGTGGGTCTCGTGTATTCAAGTCGGGTTACTTTAACTAATGGTGGTGAGTGGAACATCGTGGATTATGGTATACGCGACGCGCGGAGCGACGTGCGCTAAGGCGCAGCGACGAAAAGCGAGCGAAGGCGCAAAGGCGCTTTGTCCCCAGCATCGTGGGGCGGACCTCTTATCTGGTGCTTCTTGCTCCCGTTGCACGCGGGAACGAAGTTATCCTGGTGTCTCACCTCAGACATTGATCCCCGCCATGGCCTGCTTCGGCACTCCACCTGCATCTCGTGTTAGCTTTGCAGTCTTTCGAGACGTGGCCGTAAAGCTGTCAGTTGAATCACTGCGTCAGTTGATTGAAATCATCAACCGTTGCAGTCTGCCAGCCGACCTGCCATCGGTTGCCGAAGCAGCACATCTCCGATCTCAATGCCGGAGTTACCTCGACCACCACGTTCCTCGTGGAGGCAGCACATCTCCGACCTCAATGCCGGAGTTACCTCGACCACCACGTTCCTCGTGGAGGCAGCACCCCAAAGGGACATGACTGGGTAATTGTTCTATTCGCAACATTTACAATATAAAAAATATGGTTGCGGGAGTGGACCCTTTCAGCGATCCTACAATTTTCGTTCAGCGTTTCGACATAGAAAATATGATCGTTCCCTTCGTAGGCGGACGAATTTACTTTGTAAATTTGTTCCCGGGCTTGAATCGAATACAACCCTGTCAAGAGTTCGGCGTCATTCCCTAACGGGGAGGACTCAACACTTGCATATGTCATTCGCACGGGTCTGCGCAGTGCACTTCCAGTGTTATCGCCAGCTGGGTTACCTTTTCTCATTATAAGGGGCTTGGACCATTTCCCTGTGGAAGATGCCGGTTGACCATACGCCCATACTACCCCACGCCGGGGTAGTAGTCATC